GGCAAGCCCCATTACATTCATCTATAGGTCACGGTCTGAGGCAATGAACATGAATAGCTTGCCCAAGGCCATTACATAGCTGCTGTCGTCTAGATGGATTCGAACGCGGCACTTGTAAATACGTTGTCCTAGCCATTAGCTAATACAGCCATGCTGCCAAATTTTCAATTTTCAATTTTCTTTCTCACGCTGACTCCGAATATGCCATTAGTTTTCAATGGAAATGCTGTGGTATCTGAAAAAGAGGAATCGAGCGTGAAAATCAAGGCTTTTAGGACGTTTTTGGAAAACCTACCATTTGGTCCAAAAGAGTCGGCGCTAGTTGGCGCTAACTGTGTGGAAATGTCATATATAAGACAGCATTCCCTGAAAAATCATCAAAATTGGAGCTTCGCTAAAGTTCCCGCACGCATTGCATCAAACACACCTCCTGGGTAAATGCGCTAGAAAAATGTTTTTTTTTTCTTCAACTTAGAAAGTCCAAAAATAGAAAAGTTTTCTACCAATCGATAGCGTACTTGATGCTGATTCCGAATATATGTTTGTTTGCCCAATAGCTATGTTTGATTTTTTAAAATTTTTGCGTATAATCCGATTTTCCGATGGACACGGGTTTTTTAGTGTGTTTTTGTGTATAGGATTTTCCCAGCTTAAGGGGGGACTTTACCCCCCTTATGATATATATTTTTTGATACCAGTTTGTAGAGCAAATGAAACTGCATATAACTGAAATTTTCGCAGCGGATGAATGTGTTTTGACAGAGTTAGGCCTCTCACAAGTTATATGCCTTTATGCACCCCTTGTCGCTATAAAATTTCGGAAAATTTTCAGATACAAGTTTTAAACCTAATTTTGATATAGTTAAATAGAGTGACAAAAGTTGTATCTACCATAAAAAATTTCGATTATAGAACGAGTATTCTCCGAGAAATACTGATTTTCCTGTAAAGTACGTTTTTCACTATCTAGAAGTATTTTTTGGAAACCTTGACTGGAATCTCAAAAGTACAGCACACTAAAATAAAAATCTGTTGTAACCAAAAGATGCGCCGTCAAATTCTGTGCATAGCGAGCGGAGCAGAATTTTCATTTTGAACAGATTTTTCAAACGAAAAACGAAGTTTCGCACATGTTCGAAAACAGGGAAAACGTTTTTTTCATAGCCAATGTTGTTTTTAGTACATTTTTTGTTTCAGGTTAAATACATAGTTATATGTTATATAGCATTCGATAGAGAATTTCATCAGCTACAAAACTATGTATAAAACTGTGAGACAATGTTATTGTATATGTATACTTTGGTGAATAACTCCACTAATACTGCGCTCCAGTGAATTATACACTGTACAAGTTTTTACGTAGGAACGAAATGAAGACTTTTTCTTTGATATTTTTTTGATTCAAAAATAAACATGGACCAAAATCAAAGAAAAAGTCTTCATTTCGTTCTCTACAAACTGGTATCAAAAAATATATATCATAAGGGGGAGTAAAGTTCCCCCTTAAATAAGTTCTAGGACATAAAAGTTGTTGCTATTAAATAGAGCATGTTTCAAAGTATATTATCATCCTTAAAATTACTGAAAAATCAACTTTCATTTTTTCATCAAAAGCCGGTCTGGATGCACACTGTGTGGCCACGTAAGAAATCAATACTTGAAACTGAAAACAGTGAAGTTTTGTTATGCTAACTACGTCTTGCATTAATTTATTTTGTTTACTCTTTCACGGAAAATTGCAGTCCGATTGAAAATTCTATGTATAAAGCCGTAGACTCGGACAAAAAGTGTCTATGCATGTTGTACTATTAAACTTAAAGTTACGACGCAGTTTTGTTGTTATCAATCACCCAACGTGAAACTTTGTTCATTTATAACGAATATGAGAGAACGAGTAGAAAACATGTTAGTCGACTTTAAAAGTACTTGTTAGTTTCCACCAGTTTTCAAAACTTTCCTTCTCTGTTTATTGAAGAAACATCAATTGATGACTTTAGTTTGTCCCAAGATTTTTGAAGAATATTTGTGTTTTGAAATTTCAGTTAAGATGCAGGATTCTAGTTTTTGACTGACATCATACTAAACGAATTTCTTATAAGATTCTTATCTGTTATAGCTTGCAAGATTCTTTCAACCGCGAAAATGTTTTAAACATATTTGCAATTTCATCCTCTTTCGTATGTACAGGAAGAATTAGTTACTTGCTAATAGAGACATACGTAATGTAGTCAGGACCGTCGTGAGAATTCAAAGAGTACGGATAGACTTTCAAAAAAATTCAAAAAGAAAATCATATATTGCCACATTTGCAGGTGAACTTTAGCAGATGACACGATGAGAGTGCTGCAAACTGGCGCAGTTAACCATTGCGTAGTGAAGATTTCTTTTCGTGATTTTGCAATAATTTTCCTGATTTTGCATTAGCCGTTAATGGAGTCTTAGAGTTTCGGCAAATATTAGGCCGTGTATGCCACACATCTAGTTATCTATGCTATGTTTCGTATGGTTTGTACACATTCATTGATGGTTTTTCAGAGATACTTTTTTTTGAGATGTACAGTAATGTACTTTGCAGATGTAGTGCTCAATAAACAGCTATCCTATGTATCTTCAGTTTTTAGAAGAGGATACGGCGCTTAAAAACTATTTCAATCAAAAAACAAGCAATAAAATTTTTTCCATATGAGTGAAGTTTCAATATTATCAGATTGAGTAATATATTCGATATACTACAATTGTTGATGTACATGTCCCAGGAAAAAAAAATAAAAATTTTAAGTTTTTCTAGGAGAATTTAAAATTCCTGAATTTTAATTTCGCCTGCGACATACACATTGGTTAGGTTAATAATTAATCAATCTCTTTCGTGGAGAATCAAACAAACCTTGAACATACTATATCATCATATAAGCTACTTATTTGTCAGATGGAAAATTATTTTTCTATATTGAAAAAGAGAGAAAAATCCAAAACACAAGACGGAGAAAGAAATGGCCTGCCTACTGGAGTAAAAACAAGTCGAATTATCAAAAAATAGTCCACTCATGAGTTCTGCCTGATGAAGGAAGAATGTATAATAATTCTAACAAGAGCTTTTTATATATTATTATTTAAAATAAATACTAGAGACTCTGTGTTTACGGAGAAACTATTATTCTATTAAAAGAAAGTATTCAGAGTCCCTTTTCTAAAATTTTATGTTAAAGAACAATCGAAAATTAAGTGGAAGAAACGGGACAATCCTGATCATTGTTTAACCCTTTGGCGACGGGAAGCCCATATATAGGCAAATGTAGCGACACTCCTATAACTCATAACAGCTAGTGACTTCTAATTTTGTGTGAGCGTAGCTCTTACCGAATGCTGATCATCCGCCAAGTGTGAATCTCTTTTACTAGATGGTTCGTGAGATATAAGTGATTTATTTCTTTTCCGTAAAATAGCAATAGCTCCTCATCTAAAAAAGATGAAAGCTTTTCTTTACTGAAATGTAGCTTTGACTCTACTCTATCTACGATATGAATTTTGTGAGTTGGGAGTTAGTAGTCAATGAAATACAGCTATTTTACGAGCGAGGTTCGCGGTTTTTTGTTGAAAATTCGAGCTCCTTCGCGAAAAAAATTCACAACTCAGTCTAGGAGCATCATTTTGACTTCAAATTCGCATCAAAGGCTTTACAGTGTCTGTATATTCTCTAGTCAAAGTATGAAGATTAACTATTGTGTGCTTCTGGAAATTTATTGAGAACGAGCACCCACGAGTAAAACATACGTAGAAGAGTGAGGGTGGCGAACTAAGGGTCGCTCTTTATACTATAGAATCTGCATGCAATGTACATCATAATCATGAAAAAATAATCATAGAAACCTATGATTCCGAAAAGCGTATGGGAAACATTTGTCAGAAAGATAACACATTCACCTCTGGCTTTCGCCATTCCACTTATTTTGCGCCCTTTTCACTTCCATTATATTTTCAAGCAAAAGTAATAACATATTTGAGGTCAGCAGACAAAACTGGGTCTAACAGCATACTTAACATTCGATTTTCGAACAAACAAAATTGTATTGATAATTTTCTCTCTAGTGGGAAGACCGGACGTATATAAACGTCTCCCGTCGCCAAAGGGTTAATTAATTGTAGCTACCAAAACTCTCTGTATGCACTCAAAATTCTGAGTCCAGTTCAGTCTATGGATTCTAAAAAAGTAGTCCAGTCCAGTCCACAATACAAAAACAACATGTTTTTTACTGATTTTTCCTCGATTCAAGTGAATTCATAATTTTTTTCGAGCTCAGATCACTCCGTGGTCTTCAAAGTTTGAGTCCATGAACTCAAAAAATTTTCATTCTAGTCTATACGGAGCTCTGGTGGCTACTTCAACTAGAAACTACGCCATATTATTATTACTTGTATTATCTCTATAACAGCTAGTGTTGAGATTAATATTTATGTAGATAATGGCAATTTCTTTTTGATGCTAACATCATAATTTCAAAAACAGAAACATCACAATGAAGAATAAGACACAAAAAAATAAAATCTCTTTATTATATTGATAATAAGTTTGGTTTTTTTTTTTGTTGAAAAATATGGATATATATTAAAAAATTGTAATATTTATCTACAGATCAAGAGAATAAAAAATCGGGAAAACCTTTTTCTGATGTTCTTCTAATTACATTCCGCCGTGAGCTAGAGTTTGCGTTGGTGGTGCGTACATATAATAGTCTGATGAAAATGGTTGTGGTAAATTGGCTGATGCTGCGGCGTACAAATTATAATTTAATGCTGAATTATCATAAAATTTCGAACCATCACCGGTGGCTGCTGCTTGCATCAACGTTGTTATTGCAAATGGATGATAATTTATATTAGAAAAATGTGGATCAAATGACATTATGTGATTATTAAAGTCACACTGTTCTTGTTTCAGTTTTGTTGCAGCGACTGGATGATTTCGTGAATCAGCTCCTGATTCTAAAGAAGAAAATTAGAAATAACAGTTAGTAGCTGGAAACTTAAGTAAAGACACTGTCGATTGGTAGAGTAAAGCATATATTTTTTTAGATGCTTAATTCAGATAGTTTATACTACGGATATAGAACGATAAGTTTCGTCCCGAATCCGGCGAATTACACAAATCTACACAATGTGTGCATTTAAGTTCTTTACTCTTGGTAGGTTAAGAAAATAAGCCATATACTCACGCCCATTCCTTTGATGAATTGTGTTTTGTTGATGAATGAAACTGTTTTGTGTAATCGACATTGAACGTTGTTGATTTTGATTTGTTGGTGATATTAATCCATGTTGTGAATCGTCAGATGATTTTTGTGATGATGATGACAGTGGACTTCGACCACTACTTGATGTATTAGACTTGTCTAAATTTCGATTATTTGAATCACGATGATGAATTCGAAATGCTTCACGTTTTGGACATTTAAATCTTTTTTGACGTCTCAAATAGCAACCATTTTCAAACATATTTGTTGCTTCATTATGTAACGTCCAATAGGATCCTTTTCCAGGACGATCGGGTGAACGTGGCACTTTCACAAAACAATCATTAAAACTTAAACTATGACGAATAGAATTTTGCCATCTGAAAAAAAATTACAAGATACTATGTACAGACTTTTAAAGAATAGTTATATAAAAACTGACCTTTGTTGATTTTGTCTGTAATATGGAAAGGAGTCCATAATGAATTGATAAATTTCGGACAGAGTACACATTTTACTTGGACAAAGTTGTATGGCCATTGTTATAAGCGAAATATAACTGTATGGTGGTTTTGCACATGCATTAAAATTACGGCCTAAATATATCTAAGCACTGTAGTTGTTCTAACAGTGAAAAATTGATTCATGATTAACTTACGATAGGCATTAGCTGCTGCAGCTGCCACAACTGCTGCATTATTTGTGCTATTATTACTATTATTATTGATATTTTGATGATTATTTACTTTTTCTGTCAACATTTGATTGTTGCCTTGATAACGTGTAGGTGATAATGAATTTAAAACATTAATTGATGATGATGTACCATAGGGAGTTGTAGATAATGTACCGGCATTTGATATTTGTCCATACGTCGACGATGATGTAGGTATACCGTTCATAGTTACTGGTGAAAGTGAACCCATCATTTGCATATTTGTCGAATTTGATGTGGAATAATTCATTGATGATGGATAACAACATCCAACTTGTTGTATATTGTTTGTTTGATAAACATTATTTGGTATTTTAGGTGACGATGACATACCTACAATTAAGGAAAAATCATTTTCTAATTCGAATTTAAGATGTCTTCTTGCCATACAAGATATACAATGAAAAGTTTAGTAGAATGATGTTTCAAAAATGAACCATCAATAATTTGCTACTTAACTTGTGTAATTTTCAGACGGTATCTTCTACATAAATAATAATATCAATTTTATTAAATCTAGCAAAAATCTCTATCTTGATTAGTTCGTTTATATTCATTATTACTCTAACCTAATGGTTAATCTATTAGATACTGAAGATTCTTTTAGTAAAAATGTCTTCAGTGATTTATTATTAATCATATCATTTTCTTTCTAACTGTTAATTGTTTGAAATATTAAAATTTTAACTTGTATTTTATTTTCCAATCGACTTTATTTGCAATTTTAAGTATTTCCTTATTCTTAATACGTGTGTACACGAGTATGTGTAACTAACTAATCAAAAGCGATTATTAGTTTAGTTAACAACTAATATGTACAAATGTAGACATAATCTTACTTTGTTTTAAATAGAAAAACTTGAAAATGTGTTTGTATGTGTGTGTATGATGTCAATTGATGTTGCAAATATATAATCGAAACAATATTTGTTTCAGTTAAAATAACACTACACACACACATACACACACATACACATACACACACACACACACACATATACACAACGGCGCTTTCCTTTTTTTTCTTCTTCTCTATTTGTGCTATACGCGCACACAAGGAAAAAAAAACATTTGATTCATTTTTGGAAATTTTAAAAACCCCATCGAACTATACTTACTTGCACATCAAGATTTTGTCGATATTTACTGTTTGAAACGTGTTGTACACATATTTCTTGATTATTGATCAAACAAATTTACTTGTAATAATAATATGTGTATGCAGAAAAGAGGAGAAAAAAAAAACGTTTTTTTCTTCGATATAAAATCGACCGATTAATATTTGTTCACTATGGTTCTTTTTTTTTTTTGCTTATTTTTATGAATAAACTGGATAATTATTAATTTAGGAAAGAAAAAAGAAAGATATGAAAGAAACCTTTTTTTACCGATCAGTTCCGATGAAATGTCTTTTTTTTGGTTGTTTTTGTTTCATTCCTCCAATCGTCAAGAAACATACAACATATATTTATGATTGGACAATAGTGCTCGTGTCTTAAAATAAAGAACGAATCAAATAAAAAACCTTTTTTTCTTTTTTTGTTTCTTCTTTTTCTCTGGCGCACGCGAAACATGTTCGATATAGGCACGAATAAATATCGCAGCATTTTTATTTCACAATGTTAGAATCATTCTTAAGAGAACATTTATTGTCCGCTCAAAGTTAACGGTCTGTCACATAGAAAAAAGTAAAGAATATTATTAAACAGAATTTTATTTTTCAAGGATAAAGCAGATTTAACAGAGTCGATGAAAAATATTTTTTATAACTAGGATTGCAGTAACTGTTCGATATATTCAAGAAAATAATTTCTTATGATTTACTCATTCTCGGTTCATTTTCTTTAAAATATTAATAAATTATCTACCAGAATGCTATTATTTAATAGCTGATCTTGATCATAACAGAACAAGAAATATTATCAGTTATTTCTTACATTATTGAAAAGTCATTTACAGTATAGTTTTATGTAAGAAAAAGTCAAAGAGAAGAGCCTGGTAAGAAACAGAATGTTAGAATTCTGCAGCCAACTAGAGGAGAATGTTCAATCACAAATGGCTCAGTTTTTTGGAATCGGTCCTATGAACTGTGAAATAGAGCAATGATAGATTCAAAAAATCTTTTCGATAGTGGAAAGCAAAAATATCACTGATAAAAAAAACGTATAAAACTTATCAAATCAAATAGTTTGTTACTGTTATTTTGTTTTCAGAACCACTGAGCATTCAATAAAAAAAACCTTTAAATTAGTTAAACATAATTCTGATTCTAGAACTAAACAATCATGTAACAGTGTATTACTACTCCAGTAAAACTAGAGCTGAACATCTCTATCTTGCGATCTTGAACATCTTCTCAATGCTCATTTTTTCACTGACATGTTAAAAGAGATGAATAATTCACGAGAAAATCATAAGAAATGAAGTTTCACGATATCAAGTTTTCCACTTCAAAAGGAATTGCAATTTCCATATCGATAGTTTTGTGTATTTGCGCTATTCTTCCGTCTATTATTCATATACCAATTCTCCGATTTTTAAAGACGCTGTATGTATGATCTGCCAGAGAATCTGTCTAACAATTGAAATTTTCGTTTTTCAATTATTTTTTTTAAAAAGATCTTTAAATACTTTTTTTTCCAATTTTTGTCTTTGTCATCGATATGAAAGACATTTGTAAACAGATTACTGTAGGCAAACTGAAATATTATTCAAAAGGTTTATTTCAGTTCAGTTTAAGTGAAATAACGATCGACACATGTTTTTGGGTAATCAAATCGGTTTTTAGTCAATTATATCTTGTACTAAAACTAAAAATCTGAATAAAACACCATCTATCGTCCTTGTCAGATCTTCTATTAGAAACGTATTATTCACCATAAAATATACTTTAATATGCTAATCTATGGTTTAGAAAAATATTTAGCTCTCATTTTTTCTCTCGTAGTGGTACCGCATTTTTACCTTGAAAGAGTTTTTTAAAATCAAACTGTTATTAATTAACAAAGAGAATGATTCTAAAGCGAACTAATGATGTGTATCACATATTTTCATTATTTAATAATCATATCTAAATTTATTAATAAAAGGTAACATAATCCTCGATATTCTTTAATTAGCTATGGTTATTAGTCAAAAACGAAAATTTGTATATATATAATAAATAACAAATTTGTTATCTACAATTGTTTGCTCGTTTAAGACAGATAATAAGATGTTACAAATTTTGATAGATATGCATTATTATCACTATCTTATTATACGTAGAGGCTCATGTTCAGTCGAATTTTTGTTACGTCATACTCACGAGTAATTGTGTAACTATCGTAAAATGTTGTCTCCTATCGTCACAACAAAGATCATACTCATTCAAACTAAATCAGAACGTAATCTTTTCACCGTATAATCAGTTCTGTTAATAAAACAATAATTTTCAATTAATATTAGGAGAGAATGCTAAACCAATAAGAATTCAATGCGAGCAATTCTTCTGAGAATATATCCATATTTCATGCCTATGACGCGAACGCACTTTTAACGTATGTATAATCGAAAAAATAATTTTGATTATTTCTTCTCCCTCTTCTCGCTACTTTATCGTTGTTTTGAACAAGTTTGATACTCTTGACACAAACCTCATGCTATTTGCCTCTCCTAATAGTAATAATGATTGTTATTTATGTGTATGAGTTAAAATTTAATTTATTGACACTTGAAACAAAAGTGTGTATATGTGTGAGTTTCACAATAAGGATGAGATCTATATATAATAAGCAATAAACATTTTCTTATATATTTTATCGAATAACTGTCAAAAACTTTTTTAATATCTGTCTTAGATATAATTTAATTTTGTGAGAAATGAAAATAGATCTCAGAAGATCTCTAAATATCACTCATACAAGAATGAGTCTCTAATATCTAAATGATATTCGTTCTCATCATTGATCTTATTATTTTTAGTTACCACAAATGCATATAACCTTGACGGAACGGTGTGTAACTTGATATCTGTCAACAAAACAGAAAAAAAAATATTCATCTCATATCTAAACATATTGACCCGACCCATTATGCAAGGTATAGACAACAAGTGAGTGTGTCCTTAACTGAATAGTCACATATAACGACAAAATCCTCCACCTTTGACTTAGCACATACGCATTCTTCTTGTTTCGATATACGTGCTTCATTTCTCATCTATTCTTTTCATATATGAATGGAATGTTATACATATATACACATTGAAGATGGTCATTCTGTATCTATCTAATTGAGCAAACAATCGAACGGACAATCATAATCTTTCTCGCTATTATTGACAAAATTCCGCCCTTCAAAATACATTCAGATATTTACACTGTTGCCTTCCGGGTCATGATGTTTATACGGAAGATGAAATAAACATCTCAAAAGGTACCTCTCTGAATTTATGATTATTTTGTATACAAATATAGTAAAAAATGGTATGATATCTTTCAGTTAGAGATAAATTTTATAACTAAACTCTCCATTATTCTTCGAATAGAGTCTGATTGTCCATTTCTATTACAAAGAATTCCACTATCTTAATCCTCAAGAAAGAAAAAGTCCTTTCAGATTAAGAGAGAGAGAAAGTTTCGGTCATGCTCTCTATCCCATTAAGAAACTTTTGCTAGAGAACGCTCAACTTACGTTGTTTTCCTTAAGCAAACTTCTATAACTTGTTTGTTCTAATTCTAATTACTAAACTCTGCTTTCTCTATCTAGTAGCATACCTATAAGTATATTCTATTAGTGAATCATAGATGTTCACTTTAAATACTTTATCTTCGTATTTTGTCAGCGTTGATTGAGAAAAATGAGCTCAAAGAGGAGAATTCAAACAATTTCTGTGAAAATACATTGCTGTTTCCCTACTTTTCCAAATTGTGAAGTCTGAAGAGATTAACGGCTGTAAAAATTTCTAAAAGCACATCGTTTTCTTAGAAAAACGACAACGATTTAATTATCTTTTTATTCGTACATATGTTGAATGATTAATAATCTCTATGTCTTAGAGATTGGTTGACAACAAATGAAAAGCAAATAAAAATTTCCTGTTCTTTTTCTTTATGTATCCATCCATGTTTCCACGTTTTTCTCTCTCTTTATTTCTCAATTTATAATATATATAAACATATATCTGTATATATGTGGATGTATAGTTTAATAGATCGAATGAATGAAAAGAAAAAATTAATTGTAGTCTACATCATACGCAAAAAACGAAAAAGATAATTTTCTAACCAGAACAAACATATTGACGCAAGATCTACAGTGTACAGTGCTCTCCCTTTAACACTTTTTCTA